TTCAATCAAGATTCAGGCTACGTTACAGAATAGAGGCGGCATTAAAACTGAAATCCTGTTGATCCAAGACAGAATGAACAGGTCTAGAAGGCTAAGGGTTGGGTGGGATTAAAAAAGATGAGAATCACTTACCCAGTTCTTACAAACTGCCCCCAATATTGCATAACCCTTTGGCTGAGAATCTCTTCCTCATCCGAGTTGGTGGCATTGCCATCCAGCGTAGACAGGATGGAAACAAACAAATAAGGCAGCTCGGCACAGTGGGGTACCCCAATCCAGTCGGGTGCAACTATGAAGGCAGGACGATGGGTGAAGATGTAGGCAAAAACGGGGCTTCCGGCTTCAGCCATCCGGTTGGCCACACTAGCCACTGGGCACAAGAAGGCGTAGTCCCCACTGGCCCTGATCATGGCATCCCTATACCGGGCTTCCCCTTGTTCCCCGCCGCTGTAAATGAGTGCTGCAGCTTTAATGACAATCTCAGGAGCTTCTGGGAGCAACAGACGGAGGCCCTCTAATAACTGCTTGTAGCTGATCAGGCTGTCATTATACAGGCTGAAACCAGGCGATTCAAAGAGGAAAATGGTGCCCTCGTCAGGGGTGAAGCCAGTCAGAACAGGTTTCGCCAAGAAGCTCCCAGCTTCCAGAAGTTTCTGAGGGTCGTCCGGAAGGAACTCCCCATCTGTTGTTGGCACGAAGGGGAAATTAAATAAAACGTTCTGTCCTATGGTAGATGACTTCTGCACCAACGTGCCTGGTTCCTTCCTCTGCAGGCATTGAACAACAGCTCGGTCATCCTCCTCCTCCTCCTCAGTACAGTCCAAAATCTGGCCAAGGGTTCGTCCTCTGACCTTGGCCTCCTGAGGATTCACCCAAGCCCAGGGGCTAATGGTGGCTCCACTTTGTACGGTAGCCTGAGCAAAAATAGGTTGGCTTGCTGGTGAGAGAAGGTGGAAACCAGCCGAGGCACCCCCGGCACTTTGACCTCCTATGGTGATTCGGCTTGGATCCCCTCCAAAGGCGGCCATGTTTTCCCTCAGCCAACTCAACGCCAGTTGTTGGTCCCACAAGCCAGCATTCCCTGGAGCATCCGGAGGGAGGTAGAGGAAGCCCAAGGAGCCTAGACGATAATTCATAGAAGCCACAATGATGTTCTCCGTGGCAGCTAAGACGCTTCTATCCAGGGATCCAGAACCTTGGACAAAACCACCTCCATGGATCCAGACAAAAACTGGGATTGGGGTCATGGGTCGTGGATGAGGCACCCAGAGGTTGAGGAACAAGCAGTCCTCGGAGAGTTGCAAAGTGGCTTCTGAGTTCACTTCTGCAGGATAGCTGAAACGTTCTGTACTCTCCTGGTAGCAGGAATTGCCATAATTGGTGGCCTCCAGGATGTGGCTCCAGGGCTCATGGGGAAGGGGCTTTTTGAAACGCAGGGTCCCCAATGGAGGTTCGGCGTAGGGGATTCCCAAGAATGCTGTCACCATGCCAGAAGCTGTGGTAAGGCGCTTGCCCCGGATAGGGCCACTGTTAGTGACCACCAC